CCCCGGCCCGGGCCGGGGACCGGCAACGGGATCGCACCCCTCTGTGTCGCTCCCGCGCCTCGCTCAGCCAGTGAGCGGGAACCGGTCCGTATGTGGGATCCGAACCCTCGGCGGGAGCGCCACCGCGCTTCCCAAGCGGCGCACTATCCAGTGCGCCACCGGGCCGGCCCTCTGTCTCTCTACTTTTTCATCTTCTTTTCCCTGCCCACACTGCATGCTCAGTATCTGCTTTTCATCTCTGTGTGTCTGTGATTAGATAATGCATGCAAAGAATCGCTTTAAATGGCAGTATTTTAAATAGTTATGTTGTTGACATTAAGAATATACACTTCCAGGACAGATGGAAAAGAGCATTTCAGTATAAGGCAGATCACTGTTTTTGACCTGGGATAAAATTTCCGGTGATAGAATGAATCATGCATCCTTAAAGATCTCTGTCACAGCGTAGATGGCAAAAAAAATTATATACTCTAGAAAATTGCCATATATAACTCAAAAATTTGCTCTATATACACAACACACTGTCTCAAAGATAACTGAATAGTTCGAATACATTTTATGACATTTGCTAGTAGGGTGGGATAAAGCAGTATTTCTGTTTTAAAATATTTTATAGAGATATATTTTTATTATATAAGTAGCTAAATTTTATAAAAGTTTTTAAAATTCATCTACATTAAAAGTTTTATATTTTCAAGTTGATCAAAAACTTAAATATTTATTTATTATTAAATTATTTATTTAATATTACTATTGGGTTTCCCCCCCACATTTAAGTAATAGAAAAGCCCTTTATCAATTTATAATTTTACTGCACTGACTTTTAAGATTTACAAATACATCCTTTGATTATTTAGCAGGTAACATCTAAAGGAACTGGTTTAAATCCTAATGCCAAAGTATGGCAAGAAATTCCTCCTGGAAATACTGATACTATTCCAGTAACTCAAGGAACTGAAAGTTGGCATGAAACAGCAGCCACATCAGGATCTCATCCTGAGGGTAAGTCCTAAGTATTTCATCAGAAAAAGCATATTTTGGTTAAATGTATGACCAAACCAGTTTATAGAACTTTGAGATACATCCTTTGATTATTTGATTAAATACATTTATAAATGTTTAATCTGTAGTTTGTATAATTCTCATTTATATCCAACATGAATGGATTGTCACTCAAGTAGTAGCTGTGTCCTTGGGTCAAGCATCTAACCCATTTATATTTATAAATTAATTTTAAAAATTATTATTTTTATATCATTATGTAAATATTTTTATATGATTATATTTTTAATATTATTTATAACTATAGTATGTAATTTCTAATTGGTTTGGTGGCTGGCTGGTTAGTTCAGGTGGTTAATGCACAGCCTTGTAACACCAAGGTCAAAGGTTTGGTTCCCTTTCATCCAGCTGCCCCCCAAAAAACCAAAAACCAAAAAAACACACATATAAATTAGTTTTGATCTACCATTATCGGCTCTGCTGTTTACTCATTGTTTGACCTTGGGCAAGTGACTTAACTTTTCTGTGCTTGTTTCCTCCATCTGTAAAACCGAAACAATAATTATTACCTACAGCATAGGATTTTCTGAGAAGTAAGTAAAGTGCCTGGAGCAGTCTGATATATGGATAGTGCTATATAAGTTTTAGCTGTTGTTAATCATTTTAGCTTTTCCGTAATGGTCAAAACTTACCTTCCTGGGGGAGACAACTAAAAAAAACCATGTGGGCATTTTCCCAACTGGATAGACTTCCTTGCAATCTTGTTATAGGAGATATACTGCCTATAGTTCCTAAAGATAGGATTTAAAGAACTCCTATTTACTTTCAATGTCTTTTCTTTAATACAGGTAATACAGAGCTTTCAGAAGATATATGTAAGGAATATGAAATAATGTATTCTTCATCTTGTGAAACCACAAGAAATACTACAGGCATTGAAGAACCAACTGATGGAATGATTTTAGGACCAGAAGATCTGAGTTACCAAATATATGATGTTTCCGGTAAACTTTATGGTTTTGTTGGTAAAATGAGAATTCAGTACACTAGCCTCTCTCCCTCTTCACACGCAGTCTCTTTATCATTATTCTGATAAATCTAAGGCATTGGTCAAATTGTTTTTTTATTTGAAAAGAACCTTATGTTAATGAAATGTTAGGTGATTGTTATAAATACTGTTTTCAAATACTCGAACATGAAATTTCTAACTTTAAAAAGAGTATTTACTTTATGAGGGTACTATTGAAATATGAAATTAAAAGTAATGTGGAAAAATCAAAATAGAAGACACCTAAATTACAATCTTTCACAGGGTTCAGGTTTCTCAGTTTATTAGTTGGGATTAATGCAGGTTCTATCAATTTTCCTGTCACCTTTATCAACATGAAATGTGTTTACAAATGTTCAGTTGAAGAGATTAAAACATGAGTTCTGCTACAATTCAACTTGTGAAATGTTTTTTTCACATTTGTTTAACCATCATGGATTATTAGTTACTTGGATTTAAAATAGACAAAATTTGAAAGAAACTAAAAATGAACCACAGACTCTGACTACCTAACTTTACTTTTCTAATATCTGAAGGGTTTCTGAAAAATAATTGTAATGTGGAGTAGGTATTTCAGTTTCTGTTTTTAAGTAGCTAGGTGACTTCAGGCAAGGTGTATAAACTTTCGTCCTGTATTACCTTATTATAGGTATTTGGACTAGATTTCTAAGGTCTATCTGCTTATACGATGAGATAATTTAAGGTAGTGTGTTCTTCCTACCTTTGATCATAATACGAGTATACCTAACCACTGGCTACTTTGAACATGGGTTTGGTTTAAGTGATATGGCAATCAGTTGGTGTTTTAATGAGTTTGTTATAAATAATGTTAGAAAGTTAAATGAATTGATTGCTCATTTAGCTAGCATTTCAGTGAATGAGTTTTGTATTAGAAAGATTGCATATACATAGAAATAGAAAAAGTGCTTATATTCATTTTTAATGAAGTTAATGTCTAATATTTTGATTCTTGAGTAGTGAGACAACTTAGTGGAAAAATCATAGAATTTATTTAGCTCCATATACATCCTATTGTCTGTATATTTAAAGGAAATTTAGCCTATATTAACATTAATGCTTTTTAAGAAGAGGGCATGTTATATGCTTTTAGTCTGTAATGTTTTGTGTAAGATTCTAATAAGAGAGTGATGGTTTCACAGGCTTGATTCCTGAAAAAAGGGCTCACGTTCTGGGTTTAAACAATAGAAAGCTCAGAAGGCTGGTAGAGTTGATCTGATCCTTTGGATGTTTGCATGCTTTAAAAATGTTTGGGAAGGTAGATTACTCTAACATCAAGGAATGAAGAGAAAAGAGTATTAAGAGAGAAATTTAAGGAGTGTGACTAACATCAGATTTACTTCTAGGAAAACAGGTGTGGTTATATAAATATATCCCACTTGATTTAGCTGGTTTCTGTCTTCAAGTTTAGATTACTATTGCTTTTATTCTTTGAGTTTTCATTAGAGGAATAAGTAGTTATCACATTTTATGGTTTTTTGTTTTTTTTTTTTTTTTTTCCTTTTCGTCTTTTTTCGTGACCGGCAACGGATCGCAACCCTCAGTGTCGCGCCCGTACCGGACCGGCAACAGGATCGCAACCCTCGGTGTTGCGCCCGCACCTCGCTCAGCCAGTGAGCTGCCGGTCTGTATGTGGGATCCGAACCCTCGGCGGGAGCGCCGCCGCGCTCCCAAGCGGCACACTGTAGCAGTGCGCCACCGGACCGGCCCCTAGTTATCACATTTTAAAAGTGTTTAGGTCAGTGTTTTACAGCATGGTAGCCAAGTATTTTTAGTATTAATGATGCTATGCTAATTTCTTGATAAAATAATTCTTAAACTATTATGAAATCTGTCTGAAGAAAGAATAGACAGGTTGAAAGAAATTAGTTAGACCTTGAGCTATCCAAATTATAAAAATAATAAAAAATATAGTTTTGTGGTGAATTTTAATTTGTGGGTACTTAGTGACATCCGAGTACAACAATATGTAAGGTTTGCCACGTATGGCAACTTGGTATTAACTTTTTTTCCCTTCTTGATTTCTACCATCAGAAGAGAGCAATTCAGCAATTTCTACAGAAGACTTAAAAGAATGTCTGAAGAAGCAATTAGAATTCTGTTTCTCACGGTACATAATAATTTTTTTATTGATAATTCTCCTTTTTTGAGTTGTTTGGTTAGTAAATGTAAAATACCTGTGAAATAGAGTAAAAGAGTGGTGGTTATCATTTCTTTTCAATAATATATTTTGGTACTGTTTTTCAGAATATTTCTTAACTAGATTTAAAGGCATAGTGTTCAATTGGATATTCACAGTAGAAAGATAAAGAAGTTTCTATTGGATACTTTTCCTGTGAATGTATTCAGGTTTAGAGTTCTCAAGAAATTTATGTTTTTAGTAGTGGGCTCTTGTGCCTTTGTTCATACAGTTATTTTTAGCAATGTAGTACGGAGATGGGCAGATAATTTATATTACAAGTGTCTTCAATTGAATAAGAAGTCCTTTCAGGCAAACATTTCAAGATGTCTTGTTACAGGTAAGAATTATATAGGTATATTTACAGCTTAGATATCATAAAACTTCGGTATGTAGAACTGCCCTTTCCAAAATAAATAGAAGTTTAGATAAGCGTGCAAATGTAATGCCTTCCATTTTTCCTGTCTCTGGTGAATGGTATGATCATCGAGCCAATTTTTCAAGCTAGAAACCTGGATTTTATCATAGACTTCATTTCTTTACATGTAATGCACTTTTGACTAAGGTTTAATTGATTCTTCGTCCTAAATATTTCCCATTTTTTTCCCTTCCTTGTTATTCTTTGCCTTTATGTTCTAGTATATATCATAGGATGAAAAGCAAGAGCCTCCTGGCTTTCTTTTCTCTGATCAGTTTTAAGTATGATACAATTTCTTTTTTTTTTTTTTTTTGGCCACTGTCCAGTATGGGGATTTGTACTGTTGACCTTGGTGTTATCAGCACCACACACTAACCAACTGAGCTAATTGGCCAGCCACAATTAATTTTCTTTAACATACTGGTAATAGTTATTTTAAAATCCTTACCTACTAACTGGATTATTAGATGTGGGTCTGCTTATATTGTCTGAGTTGGGGTTTGTTTTTTTTTTTCTTGGTCTGAGTTTTTTCTTTTGATTCTCTGTCATAATTTCTTGCCCTTTTTCATTTCTTATAAATTTTGATTATGTGCTGGACATTACATATAAAAGAAACAGAAACTTCAGGTGACATAATGTTTCTCTCTAGACAGGGTTTGAGCTTTTGTATGTTAGGCAGATAGAGTGAAATGTTGATTGCTTTAGTCCAGTCAGGAATTGAGCTGGGTCAGGGCTGACCAGCCATTTTATCTATCTATCTATCCATTTATTTTGCGTGTAACCTGTGCACATCCTCTTGTATACTTTATTGTTTGTTTTGGTTTTCTCCTGTATACTTAAAATCATCTTTAGATTACTTTTAATACCTAATACAGTGTAAATACTATGTAAATAATTACACTGTATTCTTTAGGGAATAATGACAAAAAATGCTCAGTATAGACACAATTTATTTTTTCCTGAATATTTTTAATCCTCAGTTGGCAGGACCCCTGACCAGCCATTTTAATTAGAGTCAGTTCACCTCTGATTTATCTCTGTTCCTTAGGCATGGCCCTCAGGCTTTCGATTTAGAGCTTGGCAGTTTTCTGTCACCTTAATCCTGAAACACCAAGGAGATTTTTTTGATCTGTTCTTCAGAGGTTTGAGATTAGCTTTTTAGCCTCTTAACCCATACAGCTTCAAAATCTGGCAAAGGTCTTAAGGGGGAGATTTGTATATGATACAGGGTTTCTCCTTCCACCGGGACTTAATCACAAGACCACACAGATTTTACTCTGCCTATTCAAGCTGGCTCTCAGTCTCCCATCTTCCTCTGTAGAACCCAGGAAACATCTTAAGGGAAAAATGAGCTGTGTATTGGGGCTCCTGTAATTTCCAATTCATAATGCTAGTACTGTGTTCAATACACATACCACATTCCTCCATGCTCTGCCTAAAACTCTGCTTGTTGTCCAGTAGAGTCCCTCTGAGCCAAGATCTGCAAATGCCCTCAGGAGGGAGAAATCTTTTTTCTGGCATTTCAGTCATTTTGTCTTAGAAGCTCTCCCATATCTCCAAAATATGATTTTTGTAATTCATCCAAACTTTTTAGTTGTTGCAGTGGGAACCCTTGCTTGTCATGATCTACCGCATCCTACTTAGGACTGCGATACAGTTCAAAACAGCTGGGCAATTGACATTTGTGCCTCGGCAAAATTGCGGTTAGTACATATCAGGTATTACTCATGAATAGGCAAATCTTAAGATGCCGTATATACATTAATTTGATTTACTTCTGACGAGGTACAGTTTCTTTAGCTAAGAGTTTTGGCACACTTTTATTAGAATAGGCCTGCTGAAAGTCAGAGTTGATTTAGGCTACAGCTTTTTAGTTGTGCAAAGATCATTTTTATATTGTCTTATTTTCAAGTTTTAAGGAATATCTTATTGATTAGGCCAGTATTAATATGTTTTTCCTTTCATGCTGAAGTCTGAGTTTAACCTTTACTGGTATCTTCTATCCCCCACCTTGCAAAACAAGTTGCCATCACTTGTTGACATTTGTAACCTAAAAAAAGTAATTACTACTCTTATTTTAATAGAATTTGAATGTAAAGGCCTTTGAACCTACACTGCCAGGCACTAGGCTGTTGAAACACATTATTGAACAACAAAGATCCTTCATGGAACCTATATTCTGGGTGGGGACACAAAACAAATGTGATAAATAAGCAACTTATGGGTATGGTAGGTGATAAATGCTATGGAAAAAAATTAAATAGGACAATATAAGCAAGGGAAGGGGGGAATCAGGAGTGCCTGGGTGGTTGCAGTTTTAAATAGGGTGGTCAGGTCAGGCTTCTTTGAGAAGGGGGTTTTTAAGCTATTTACAGCTTAAAAGACTTCTAGCTATTTACAGCTGGGCTGCTTCAAAGAATATTTGATGTGAATAACAAGGCATGACTTTGACTTTACATCAGTTTTTTAAACAAGATTTTATGTTTAAGATAGTAGTGCTGTATCTTCTTTTTTAACTGTACCTTAAATAACATTTTATCTTAATTTTAAACACATTTGAAACTACAAAAGTCAAACATGCTTATAAAAGATGCATACATTTAGAAATTGAAAATCCTTCATGGTCGTACTCATGGTTAAACTACACTTTTTCCTGTATGTTATGTATTATGACATCAGTGATAATGTGTTCATGTGATGGAACTACACTGTATGTAACATTTGGTAACGTACTATTTAATATTAAAGCTTCTTTCCATATCAGTGTAATTCCATAAAATCCATTGTCCAAAACTATTTAGGCCAGATGTGTTTGAGGATTCAGAAACTTTGTGAAAGTGTTACTGTCTGATATATATTATGTTGGTATCCTTTTTTTTTTTTTCTGATCAGTAAGGGGATCACAACCCTTGGCTTGGTGTTGTCTGCACCACGCTCAGCCAGTGAGTGCACCAGCCATCCCTATATAGGATCCAAACCCGCGGCCTCGGCGCTACCAGCGCCACACTCACCTGAGTGAGCCACGGGGCCGGCCCATGTTAGTATCTTAAGGTGAACTTTTAACTGAACTTTTCAGAGTTTGCTGTGTTATTTCTGATACATAATTTTGTTTCCCTAGACTTAGTGACAAAAGTGAATAAGGTACCTCCTTTCTTTAGGTGCTTTTTAAGAATTGCTTGTTTTGTAGGATTATTACTTCTGTTTGTTTCTTTCAGAGAGAATTTGTCAAAGGATCTTTACTTGATATCTCAAATGGATAGTGATCAGTTCGTCCCAATTTGGACAGTTGCCAACATGGAAGGAGTAAAAAAGCTGACCACAGACCCTGATCTAATTCTTGAAGTGTTGAGATGTATGTAAATAATACCTTTTACCTTATTTTTTTTATTAAAAATTTTAAATATTTTGATTTCTGATTATACAAGGAATTGTTTTTAACTCACTCCCCCTACCCCCATTTTCTAATAGTTTATCTTTAAATAAGTTTCCGTATCAATTCAACACCTTGGTTGATCATCTTGATGCCCACTTAACAAATATGAGGAATTAAATTTCATTTTCTGGGCTATTAGAAAGCTATGTGTTATCAAACCCTTTAAAGCAACCTATTTCAAACTTTTGAACCTAGTAAGAAGTACATTTTATATCACAGCCCTATACACACACCACGTGTCTACACACAGTGACATCTCAGTTATACAAGTTAAAACTAAATGTTCCTAAATACCTCATTTTTTATTCTAAACTGATTTCACAATCTACTAATGAGTTGCTGTCTGTAGTTTGACAAAAACTGCTCTGAGGTTTGGTAAAGAATTTGTATTTTTTGATTGAGGCTCTGAGAATGTTTAGTGGTGTTTGTGTCTTGTATCGGTATTTCTTGGCAACTTCTTTTAAATGGGCTTTTTTAACTGCTTGACTGAATAAAGGCAGATCTTCACTTTTATATGAAATGTGATGTTGAAAATGTTTAAAAATTAAATATACCAAGTCTAATAATAGACTTATATAGGAGTAGAGATTTCCATTCCCAGAGAGGGCTACAAACATTTATGGAACTTCTGGTTGGTTTGTACAAATGTCATTTCTTAAAATCACCCAGTCTCGTCTACATAAAAAATTGGCGAAGAGATGAGCAGAATCTCCCATCTGTTTAGGTTGGAACCTAGCACTTATAACCAGCTTTCACCCTAAACCTCTTCTTTTATTCTCTCTAGTTTCCTGCTCAGGGAGATGTGGCATATTACCTCTCTGAAGGGACTAGAAATAAAGGTTTTGGCTATGTGGTACTATCTTTATTCAATATTTCTTCAAAATCAGCATCTGAAAGATAGCTTCTGGATCTCTGTAGTAGTATCTAAGAGTAAATCTGGTGAAATCAAGGACAGACTATAATTATTTGTGTATAGTTCTTGGTTTAAGGGCTTCCTTAGACTTTAATTTTAAGAATTTCTTCACGTGTCAGATCTCATTACATTCCCCAGAATAGTGTTTGGCTAATGCAAGTACACTGATTTCTGTTAACTACCCACTTGTTATTTCCTGAATGAAGAAATTGGTTATTGCATACTGAGAATTTACCTTATTATATATTAGTGTTATGTATTCCCTGAAGGCTTCTTTTCAGCCTCACTGCAATGCTAAGTCACAAAGTAGGTAGTTTGAATATTTGTTCAATGAATAACATTTGACATTGTTCTTTGTGTATAAATCTGAAAAAAATTTTATCATTAACTGTAATCTTTGATTCTATGACTTAATTTCTTTAGGATAGTAACCTAGCCTCTGCTAATTTATTCATTTGGAAATTGAAATGAATAGTTTTTTAATGGTATTATTATATCACTACTTGTCACTTTTTAAATTTCAGCTTCTCCCATGGTACAAGTTGATGAGAAGGGTGAGAAAGTGAGACCAAGTCATAAGCGTTGTATTGTGATTCTTAGAGAGATTCCTGAAACAACACCAATAGAGGTAAATCATTAATCATTGTTAAAGCTAACTGTTCAAATTGAGAAGGTACACAAGCAAAGTATAAGTCAATGCCCTCATATCAATTACTGTGAATAGGATAAATAATAATTTGTTTTGTTAATTGTGAAGTACCAGAATGGAGCAGAGGGAGGAAAAGATGCAGTTCTCTGTCCTAAGGAGGATAGACTGAGTATTGCAGCAATACTGACTCTGAATGTATTGGTTTGACTGAATGGCAGTTGAAATATAAATAGACTCTTTGGGCAACTTGAGGAGTCCCCTGGAAGAATGAATGAAAAGTAAAATTTTTAATAAGGATTAATGAGGCAGAACCGACCCAACCCTACGGGTTAGCAAAATGTAGAGCAAAGCTATAGTCCTAAAGATGATATGATACAGGTATAAGAATAAAATAATATTTGGGGCCGGCCCGGTGGCGCACTCGGTTGAGTGCGGCGCTTGGGAGCGCAGCGGCGCTCCCGCCGAGGGTTCGGATCCCATATAGAGACCGGTCCGCTCACTGGCTGAGCGCGGTGCGGGCGCAACACCGAGGGTTGCAATCCCATTACCAGTCACGAAAAAAGACAAAAAAATAAAAAATAAAATAATAATAATATTTGAATGAAACAGTGAAATCCAGTAGACCCTTCTATATGATAAATGTATAATGACATTTATTTAATAATTAGATTCTACCAAGTATTGCATACTTTACAGTTACAAGTGACAGGTTTTTTTAATCTGTTTTACAGATGAAGTTACTGAGCCTCAGGATGGTTAAGTAACTTGCCCAAAGAAACGTGGGCTTTTAAATAAGAGTCTGGATTTGAACTTGATCTCTGTAATTTTAAAGCCCACGATAAGTCTTAACCACTTTACCACAGAGCTTCACACACAGAGCTTTAAGTTGCCATGTTAAGGCACTATAAGTTAAAGAACGCAAGGATTAATCAGTAACCGATTTATTTTATTTTATTTTTTTCCTTTTTTTTGGTCTTTTTTCGTGACCGGTAACGGGATTGCAACCTTCAGTGTCGCGCCTGTACCGCGACCAGCAACGGGATCACAACCCTCTGTGTCACGCCCACACCATGCTCAACCAGTGAGCGGACTGGTCTCTATATGGGATGCGAACCCTCGGCGGGAGCACCACCACACTCCCAAGCACCGCACTCTACCGAGTGCGCCACCGGGCCGGCCCAGTAACTGATTTATTATAATTGATTATTTAGAAAATAATTTTTAGGTCCTTGCTACATAACCAATTTGACACCCTAGTAATGAATCTTTTTGCCCAAAGTCATTCAAATTAAGTCTCTAGGATGAAGATTTCCTAAACTTAGAAGCAGTGAGAAAAATTAGAAAAAAAATTGTCACTAGATCTTTGAATTTGAATTGTATATTTGTATATCAGAAGTAATAAATTGAGGGCCGGCCTGGTGGTGCACTTGGCTCCCGCCGAGGGTTCGGATCCCATGTGGAGACTGGTTCCCATTCACTGGTTGAGCGCGGTGCGGGTGCAACACCGAGGGTTGCGATCCCATTGCCGGTCCCTGGTACGGGCACGACACCGAGGGTTGCGATCCCATTGCCGGTCCCTGGTACGGGCACGACACCGAGGGTTGCGATCCCGTTGCCGGTCAGTAAAAAAGACAAAAAGGAAAAAAAAAAGAAGTAATAAATTGAGGGCCGGCCTGGGGGTGCACTTGGCTCCCGCCGAGGGTTCGGATCCCATGGGGAGACTGGTTCCCATTCACTGGTTGAGCGCGGTGCGGGTGCAACACCGAGGGTTGCGATCCCGTTGCCGGTCAGTAAAAAAGACAAAAAGGAAAAAAAAAAGAAGTAATAAATTGAAAGGAAATTTGCAAAATAGGAAGAATATTTGTAATATTATGAAACAGTGTAAAGGATATGAGCCTGAACTGTAGAGTCAGATTATCTGGGTTTGAATTCTAGTTTTTTTACTTGCTCTTTGACCTTTTGAATTCTAGCTTTTTTACTTGCTCTATGGCCTTTTCAAACTTTGTCTTTTAACCCCTATTCCCTCAGTTTTCTCATCTGTTAAATGGAATGTTGTGAGAATTACGTGAGTTAATATATAAAGAGCGTTGAGCAGTACGTGGCATATAAAACAGTCTAAGACTACCCATTATTATCATTTTTATGGTTATAGTTCATACTCTGAATATATGAGGAGTTCATAGACATGAGAAATAATAAATATAGTGATCAAGGCATACGGTTCATTAAAGTAAAGGAAGTGTAGATGACTAAAATAGCCAGAGAAACTCAGCCTAGGCAGTGATCACTGAAATTCATATTAAAAATGTGGGGTTAGGGTACTGACCTTTAAGGTTCCTGTTGGGTAGAATAAGTTTTTGATTACTCTAAATCTAGATATCTCTTCTTATTCTTGGAAGGTAAATCTGTGAACGTAACTGTTCCTGTAGAATGATGAAGGCTGAAAATTAGGGACTTTATTTAGATTTAAATAAATTAATATTACACATTTTAAGGAAATTAGAAATATTTGGAGAATATTTATGGATTTTTGAAGATAGAGACAAGGGCCACTAGCCTAATAGTTCCACAGATAGTTCTCCAAAAAATGTAATTCTGGACTGGATGGAAATTTTCTTAACTGAATTTGGTGATATTTTACCACTTTCACAAAAGTCACAAAACTTAGCTGGTTTTACACTTATTTATTTCAAGCAATATTTGACACAAGAATGTTTCATCACAAGTTTGAACAATCCCTTTTTTAAATTCAGTGTATTGAAAATTTGAGGGAGTTAGAATACAGGTTACACTGTTGTCATGTTGATTATCCAATCAGCTTAGTATTTTCTTTTTTTTTAACTGATATTTGGTGATATTTTGATATTTTATAGGATAGTTTAACCTAATCAGATTCTTTTAATAGTTAGAAATTGTTGGTTGTTAGTAAATTTCTTCTTGAATTCAAATAGTATTAGACAAAATGGACGTTGATGGCATACAAATCTGGGTTTGAGTTCCACTTCCATGATAGTGTGGGTACGTTAAATGATCTGAGCCACCATTTCCTCGCCTGTAAAATGGAGATGTTAAAAGATTCAACACGGTTGTTTTGAGGAATAAATCACCGTGTCTGACCTTTGGTGGTATGTCAGTAGATGTTTCCTTTTCTTCTAAAACTTTTTAGGGATACTTAATGTTCACTTCCAGTTGTTTTCTTTCATAAGCTTCTCTCAAGCTATTAATAGATATTTTACCATTCTGAGTTTTGGTAATCATCATTTTCTGATCTATATATTGGAGTTTCTGTTTCTAGTTATAGCAGTTACAGAGAAGTATGTTTGCACAGAGTTCATATCTATGACTTTGATGTAGACAAAGCTTCTGGATTAAATGAGAATGCATGAAAATTCTTAGTGCCTAGAAAATGTTAATAAAGGACGTAACTTTTTTGATAATGGCAGGCCAGGCAGGAAAAGGACTAGGGAGGACTTTAATGAAAATTTTGCTTGCCACTAGAAATGAAATATTTCTGTTTTGCTGACCATAAAATAGGGTCAGAACATAATCTACCCTCATTAGAAAAATAGGCAAAAGGCAGGAACAGTTACCAAGTGAAGAAATAGAAAGGACCAAAAGACATGAAGAGATGTTCAACCTTACTAGTAAACAAAAAATGCCCATTATTGATGGTTTGTTTTTTTTTTATAGTTAACTAAAGTTTTGTATTTTTTTAGGAAGTGAAAGCTTTGTTCAAAAATGAAAACTGCCCCAAAGTGATAAGCTGTGAGTTTGCACACAATAGTAACTGGTATATCACTTTCCAATCAGACACAGATGCACAGCAGGTAAGAAGAAAACTTATCTTCTGATATAAGCCCTGGTGGTAAGACAAGTAGTGGTATGTTTTAATTGAGAAAATGTGTGCTTACACTAATGTTTATATTGACTAGTGAGCACTTTGGTTATCTTTTTGAGATGACTACAACCTTGTTTTGTTTTGTTTGTTTTGGTAGCTGGCCAGTACAGAGATCTAAACCTATGACCTTCATGTTACAACACTGTGCTCTAAGCAGCTGAGCTAACTAGCCAGCCCTTGGTCACCTTTTTGCTTTTGCTTAATTGGTTTCCTTTTTGATCATCTTCCTAAAGCTTTTTCAGTTTCAATTTAAGAACAGTTTGTTTCCTATCAGTTAATTAACACACAATTTTAACATTAACATGGGGATTGAGAACCATGTACTCAATAGTTAGTATTTCTATTATATAGTAGGCCTGCAGTAAACAAAAAAGTACTTGGAATTTTGGCTTAATCGTTTGTTTTGACTTAATGGTTTTACTTGTAATTGTTATCATGTCCTACTTAAAGATAAGAGAAGTAATATTCCTTTGAAACAAAAGTATATCTATGAAAGGGACATTTTAAAATTGCTCACTGATTTTTTTTTAAGTTCTATTCTTCCTCTTTGAAGATTTTCTGATTGAATCATTTTTTAATTGTTGATATTTTGGATGTTTTTAATCCTCTGTATTTTGTCTGCAGTAATCCATAGTAGCTCTTCCACAATAAATGTGAACTGTAGCTGAGAAGGTCTTAAATTTTTACTTTTTCATTTCCTGTCACCTGTACAATGTAATCACCTTCAGAATGTTTTGTTTAGTTTATAAACAGTTGCTAATACCAACCTCTCTTGATAGAATAAAGATGGCTTTAATGAAATGTTTAAATGCTAATGAAAGTTCCTTTCTGCTTTGTTAACAGGCTTTTAAATACTTAAGAGAAGAAGTTAAAACATTTCAGGGCAAGCCAATCATGGTAAGAAACAATTTTAAATAGAGGACAGCGTGAAACAAAGTTTTTTGTTGTTTGAGAATTTAAAGAACACTTTTAGGTAATATTTTATAAAACCCATAGCGATTTTAAATAAATTCTCGGCTGGTATTGTGTGCTGCTTCAGAAAATTAGTTGACAGGGCATTAAAATACTTTGTGTACAGCAATTCTTTCCAAAGGCATTAGTTCAAACAGCATGAAATTTTAGTTAGATGCTGATTTGCAACATAATTCTAGATCTCAAAATGAGCAGTAGGAATAATTTTTTAGTAACAGAGATGAAAAACATACTCAATACTTTCAAACTTATCTCAAGTAACTACATTACCACATTAGCATCCAACTGTTTGGGGACTTAAGAATTATGATTGGTGACACTTGCTCACTATCTTTATGTCTAATCTGTTCTCAGGTCTCCTGAAATCTGCCCTCAGAACTCTCCATTATCATTGCCATTATTTGGGGTTGAACAATTGGAGTAGCCTCTTAATTGCTGTGCCTTCAGCTTAATTATCCATTTTCCACATTGCTGCCAGAGCAACCATTCTAAAATGTAACCCTAAGCTTGTACTTAAACTGGTACTTATTTTGATCTGTGTAATATAATTATTCTCATCTTTTAATACATTATTCTTACTAACTTTTCTCCATTTGGCTCTTACTGTGTATTAGTTTCTTTTCTAAGCACTATATGTGTATTGATTCATTTATTCCTTACAAGAACCTAATAAAATAGGTACTTTTTTTTTTTCCATTTTACTAGTGAGGAAAATGAGGCATGAGTGTGACCTACCTAGTTTCACACAACTAGTAAATAGAAGAATCAGGGTGAAAGTAACAACATTCATTAAGAGGTTATATGTCAGGCACTGTTCTAAGAAACTGACATATTTAAATCTCATTTTGATTAGCCATCACATAGCAGTGTACTCGCCAGGAAATTTACATTAACTTTTATACCTTTCATTAAAACAAAATGACTTAATACTTGGAAAGATGGGTGCAGGAGCCAGGAATCCTTTCAGCACCAGCTCTTGGATCTTGAATGTGTTAGGCCACCTCGTTTGCTTCTTTGTAGCGTGCATTCTCTTCATTTCTAAAGTTCTGTGATAAAAACTTGTGATGATATTGGAGGACAAAGACATAAGTGGGTGACATTTGTCTACTTGTCTCCTCATTTGTTGATAATTTCATTAAAGAGGCAGTGCTTCATTCTGTTTTAATTGTACTTTCTATGACTGACAATAACTGTTATCAGTTCCTTTCAGCCAGCCTAAAGAACTTCCATTAGTTTCTTACAGTATAGTTTTTCCTTATCTAAAAATGTCTGATATTTCACAATTGTTTTTGATGGGTATTTTTCATAGATACAGAAATTTGGATTAACAGTAAAATCTTTTTCCCATCATTCAAAGATATCATTCTGGATTCTCTTGTTTCCAGTGAGATGTTCACCATCATTCACATTGTTCCCTTATATATGATGTATCCTTTTTCTTTGCCTGTTCTCAAGATGTTTTGTTTTGTTTTATCTTTGGTTTTAAGTATATTGACTATATTGTGTCTGTTATGGTTTTATTTATCTTGCTTGGGGTGTGCTGAATTTCTTGAATCTATAGATGTTTTTCATCAAATTTGGGGAATTTTCGATTACTGGTTTTTCAGAAAATTTTTCTTTTTTTTTTTTTCTTTGTCTTTTGTCTTTTTCCGTGTCCGGCAACGGATTGCAACCCTCAGTGTTGCCCCCGTACCGGACCGGGGACCGGCAACGGGATTACAAGCCTCGGTGTTGCTCCCGCGCCTCGCTCAGCCAGTGAGCGGGAACCGGTCTGTATGTGGGATCCGAACCCTCGGGCGGGAGCGCCGCCGCGCTTCCCAAGCGGCGCACTTATCCAGTGCGCCACCGGGCCGGCCCTTTCAGAAAATTTTTCTGTCCCACTTTTCCTCTCCTCTATCTATTTTTCTTTTTTCTCCAGATTGGATAATTTCTATGGATTTGGATTCATCTTCAAGTTGACCGACCTTTTCTTTTGCGGTCTCCAGTCTGCTGATAGGACTGACCAGTAAATTTTGTATTTCATATGCTGTATTCTTTTTTAAAATTCTTTTTTAAAAATATTTTTCTTCTCTGCTGAGATTTCTCCTTAAATTCAACTTATTAAGAGCACAATTTCCTTGATATCTCTGAATATATTTATTTATAATAGCTAGATTAAATTCTTTGTCTGCTGTTCCCAACATCTTAGAGTCTTTTTCTTTTGGCTGCTATTTTCTTGGTTAATTGACTACATTTTAAAAATATTGCTGTTTACTTGGTTTGAGTACCTTATGGGATATTTTAAGATTAAAGTGAACGATAATGTATGACATTATTCTGATAAAAGCCAGTAGCCATAATTATTTTTTTAGGTCATGTTAAAGTCAGTTTTTCACGTTTGGCCATAGTTGATTTCTTGTTTGATTGGTTGTAATTTTGTGGGATGAGAGAGGGGTTTCTGGCCTTAGCTGTAAGGATCATAAAATATACTTTTCATTTATTTATTAAGGTGGTAATTTTATACTTTCATATGCATTATTTTATTTGATATTATTTAATAATTTGATGTGGCTTTTGATTCCTAATGTAACCCTCTCACATCTTCATATTATAGTTCTGTTACAAGGGTCAGCAAACTTTTTAAAGGACCAGATAGTGAATATTATAGGTTTTGCTGGCCAAAATCTTTGTTGCAGCAATTTGTAAGGTAAAAACAGCCACAGACAGTATATAGACAAATGGTGTGATTTATAAATTTATGAAGTGTTAGAGCAATTTTTTTCCTTTTTTTTTTTTTTTTTTTTTTTTAACTTAGTACAGGAATTTCAAACATAGAAAAGTGGAAAAAATAGTATTGTGGATCACAGTGTACCAAATTTTTTCCTCAATTTTTTTATTGTGATAAAATATGCACAACATAAAATTTATCATCTTAACTATTTCAAGTGTGCAGTTTGGTGGTATTAAATGCATTCATAATGTTGTACAACCATCATCACCATCCATCTCTGGAATTCTTTTTAATCTTGTGAAACCGAAAGCCTATACCTGTTAACAAATTTTAACATTAGAGAATGGCCAGTCTTGTTACATCTATATTCCCACTTATTTCTCCATACTCCCAGTTTTTGAAGCAAATTTCAACCTTAATTTTATCTATCAGTAAATTAGTATTAGTATACCTAAAAGATAGTGATTTTTAAAAAAATCAACAATATCATCACACTTTAAAAAAGTGAACAGTAACTCATGAACATCATCAAATACCTAGTCAGTGTTCATATTTTCCCTTTTAATCCTTTTCTTTTTTTTTTCTTTAAAATCTGTAGTTTCTTCCTCTACCTTTGTATTTTTTCTTTTGTATGTATGTTGGTAAAATAACCATGTCATTTGTCTAGCAGTTTCTTAAGTATACATTTTGCCAGCTATATTCTTGAGTGTAGTTTAACGTGATCCTCTGTCCCCTGTATTTTATGCAAATTGGTAGCTAGATATAGAAACTTGATTAGATTTGGGTTTGATTTCAGGATGACAGAGGAAGGGAACAAAAGCTAACTGCTACTGATTATTGACTAGAGCTGTTCTTTCATTAAGGACTGCAAAATGTGCTCTCTCTGCTCATTTTTTTCCGTTTATTAGAAGTTTGCAATCATTTTCACCCAGAGGTGCAGCTCATATGTTAAATGCATGCTAAATTCTTGGTTATAGATTTAATTACAGTTTTTTAAAAAAAAATGTGTTGATTCCATAGCAACATTAAAAAATGACCTTTCAGTTGGTTTTTTACTTTGAATATTTAAATACTTTTGGTGTGTATATTGTTTAATAGTTTCCAGCTGTGTACTGTGACAGGGTGTTCCAGGCCCTTGTACATTTCATGTTGAAGGTCTGCGGTCAGCCAGTTCTTTCTTTCTGTATGGGAAAATTGTATTTTGCAGACCATTAGCTAGGCACAAGGAGTACTCATGGCTTTTGGTTTTGTCACTGTTTCTAAACTTCTTCACTGGACAGAGCTAAGAAATACTGTATGTGTTTAGTTTTTATTTTTTAAGACAAAATGTGTCAAGAGTTTGTACTGATGCTTTCCGTTTAAATTTGGTCTACGTGGTTTTTACTTCTTCAGTCTCACATTTGTCTTTCTCCCACATGAAAATCTCGGATCTCAGTGACCCCAGTATAATTACTGTTTTGCCCCATCCCATAATCACACACAAAAGTATTGAAATAACAGTACCAATAGCAACGTAATTCTGAAAGTAATTTTAGAATTTTTTGGCCATACTTTGTGCTTTATGGTTTATTCCTAAAGGACATACATAACAGTTGATTTTATTATGGGACAAAGTCACTTATGATTTATCTGTGTTGTTACTAATTGGGTGCGATTAGGTTCCTTTTGATTTTTTAAATCTGTGCATGTTTTAAAAGTAAAAGACACCATATATTAAATAGATACTTATGTGTATATACAAGTATAGCATTGTATCCCCATCTTAACTAGCTAAGCAATAGCTTACTGTACATACTTTTCTCCTCCTTGCCTTGCCTTTTTTTTTTTTTAAATTTAACAGTATATTCTGGAAGTCACCCATAATAGTATTTAGATAATTTTCTCAATTCTTTTTACATTCACGTGGCACTCAGTTGTTTGGATGGACCATGGTTTCTTCAACCATTGATGAACTATTGGATATTTTTTGGAAGTGGGGGAATTCCCTCCTCTTTTTTATAATTAGTGTTAGTGAATAGCCATTTACATATATTTTTCCACAGCTTTATTAAGTTATAGTTGACAAATAAAAAGTATATATTTACAGTGTACAACATGTTGTTTTAACATATGTATACATTGGGAAATGATTAAATCAGGCTAATTAACATCCACCACCTCACATGCTTATTTATTTGTGGTGAGGACATTTAAGATCTCTTAGCAATTTTCAAGTATATAATAAATTATTATAATTATAGTCACCATGCTATACAGTAGATATCCAGAACATTTTCATCCTGTCTGACTGAAACTTTGTACCCCATTCCCTCCCACCCTGGCCCCCGCCCCTGGCAACCACTATTCTACTATTTCTTTGTGTTTGTTTTTTATTTTTGTTTTCTTTTTAGTTTTATTATTTCTACTGTCTGTTTCTATGATTTCAACATACAAGTGAGATCATGCAGTATATGTTTTTATGTGCCTAGCTTTTTTCACTTTATAAGGTCCTCCAGGTTCATCCAGTTGTCACAAATGATAGGAGTCCCCCCCCCACCCTGGCTGAATAGTATTCCATTGTGTGTTTGCCACATTTTCTTTATCCGTTTGTACATTTAGATTGTTTCCATATCTTGGCTATTGTGAATAATGCTGCAGTGAACATGGGAGTGCAGATATCTCTTTGACGTACTGATTTCACTTCCTTTGCATATGTACCTAGTAGTAGGATTGCTGGATCATATAATGGTTCTATTTTTAAATTTTTGAGGAACTGCCATACTATTTTCCTTAATGGCTGTACTAATTTACATTTCCACTACAGTGTGGAAGGGTTCCCTTTTCTCCACATCCTCCCTAACACTTGTCTTTTGTCTTTTTGATAATAGCCATTCTAACAGATATGAGGTGCTATCTAGTGGTTTTAATTTGCATCTTCTGGCGATTAGTGATTTTGAGCATTTTTACGTACACCCTATTTTTAATTGCATTTCTTTTTTTTTTTGTCTTTTTTCGTGACCGGCAACAGATCGCAACCCTCAGTGTTGTGCCCGTACTGGACCGGGACCGGCCACAGGACCGCAACCCTCGGTGTTGCTCCCGCACCCCGCTCAGCCAGCGAGCGGCCAGTCTGTATGTGGGATCCGAACCCTCGGCGGGAGCGCCGCCGCACCTCCCAAGCGGCGCACTGTAGCAGTGCGCCACCGGGCCGGCCCTAATTGCATTTCTCATATGAGCTATTTTATATGTTTCAGAGCCATTTGCCTTTCTTTTTTCTATGAACTTTATTTCTCTAAACCATTTTTCTATAGGATTGCTAGGCCTTTTCATGTCTAATTTTACAATTTTTAATTAGGGATATTAGCTCTTTTGTCCATGATAAGTTGCAATTTTACTATTTTGACTTTTGTGTTTTTACCTTGTTTATTGTGGTTTTTGCTGTGCAAACATTTTTATCAATTCAAGTTTTCTGTTCTTTTGCTTGCTGATTCTACAGTAGGCAGTAATAGTGTGGTCATGTAAAATATGTTAAAATGTTAATTAAATATATACTTAGTCCTTTATTATTATAATGTGTTCCTCTTGCTTCCAGGCAAGGATAAAAGCCATCAATACATTTTTTGCTAAGAATGGTTATCGATTAATGGATTCAAGTATGTATAGTCACCCCATTCAAACTCAAGCACAGTATGCCTCACCAGTCTTTATGCAGCCTGTATATAATCCTCACCAACAGTACTCGGTCTATAGTATCGTGCCTCATTCTTGGTCTCCAAATCCTGCACCGTACTTTGAAACACCACTGGTAAGTGAGATCCTTATAGAATAATAAAATATAAAATCATAAAATTTTTAATTCAAGTTGAAATTTTAAAAAATCAGCTAGAGTAGAAGTTCGTTTGTTTTGTGTTAATATTGGTTACCATCTGGCTTTTAAGTAGCCTTATGAATATTTAATCCTTTATACCAAATATATGCATATGACTAAGGGTTGAGCTATTGGTTTCTGTACTTGTGTTCTTCAAAATTTGCTGCATGACTTGAAAAAAGAGACTGGATAAGTCCTGCATGATTTTAAATGCTTTAGTATTGTGAAACTCTGTCAGAGAGGAATGTTCTTCATTAAGTAATAAGCTAGTGATTCATTGTTCGTAGATCAAGTGGTACTTGAAGTGAATATTGCAAGAATGAATAAGTAAAATGTTTTAAATTGTTTTGGGCTTGTAAAAGAAAAATTGATGATAGTTTAGCTTATTCAGATTTTTTGTGATCCTTATACCAGATTTTGCCTTTACCATTATTATTTTTAACATTAAAATTTTCTTCTAGGCTCCCTTTCCCAATGGTAGTTTTGTGAATGGCTTTAATTCACTAGGATCTTATAAAACAAATGCTGCTATGAGTATGGGTCGACCATTCCAAAAAAATCGGTAAGATAAAAATTATAGCTGAAATTTATTTTAAATAGTTCCCAGTGTTTCTTAAGGAATTACTATGTTAATAATAACGTTTGTTGGCAGACTCAGTAAAAAGGTGTTTTGGGTTTTTTTACAAAAAGTATGCAAATGATTCAATCTAGAATTCATAAACACTGACATCAGAATTGATAATGGATTTAAAAGGACTTGGATCTCAGATTTTTTAAAAAAAATAATAAAAAGAATAGAAAAAATTTTATGGTAACAACTTCTGACATAAAATCTGGTGTCTAAATGCCATTTAGTGTGTTAAATGGGTAACATTTTGGAGAAAGAGTTCTTTGAGGATAGAAATGTTCACTGATTTGAGTAATAAATGTGGGGATATGTGTTATTTAGGATTTTTAAGAATTGACTTGAAATGACTTTCATAAACTACACTGCACAACAGACAATAGCTAACATTTATTTAGTATTTAATGTCTCAAGCTGTGTTCCAAAGGACTTTACATGTTATGTCAGATGATTTTCATAACTCTGTAAGGTAGGTACAGTTACTATATCTATTTTATAGACAAGGAAATTGGGTCTTACAGGGTTAGATGTCATGTCCAAGAGCATGTAGTTAGTAACTGGCAGAGCCAAGATTTGAACCCAGGCAGTTTGACTCCAAAGCCTGCACTTAAAGCATGATGTTTGGAATAAATTATTAAAAATCCCAGAAACTGTTTGCTATCATACAAGAGATTGACATGTCTCTTACATGTTTTTCTTTGTATAGACATCATCTGATAATCTCAATATTTGGTGTATATTATGGCTTTTGACAGTGTGAGACTAACCAGAGAATAAATGACTAATATATAGTGGTTTAGATTTATTTAATAATTTCACTGTTACTGTTTCTTGTTTGCTTATTTTGTGAGCCTCTTGGTTTTTGAGGGTTTTTTTCCCCCTACTGATTTCTTTTCAGTGATTTTCAGTCTCTTGCCAGATCTCATTCCCCCAGTTGCTTCTTTTTGGCAAGGAGACCACATGAGATTGTTTTTCCAAGGTGACTTCTAGGAACTTAGTTCTTTTTTGGAAGATGTTCCTGAAAAATGCTTCATTAGACAAAGGAGCCTCACAGTATAAAAAATATTCTTCACAGTGGATTCTGGAAGCGTTATATACCATTCTTTAATAGTCACAATTTTTAAACTCCCTTCGAATGGTATAATTGGTTAAAGCCTTTGAAGATCATTTTCTAAGTGCTGGAAAAATGTTGCTACATAAACTCAGTCTTGTTTCTTTTTTTTTTTTTTTTTGGCAGCTGGCCAGTGCAGGGATTGGACCCTGGACCTTGGTGTTATCAGTACCACACTTTAATCAACTGATCTAACTGGCCAGCCCCCAAGTTTCAAATGAGGTCTCTTCATATTGTAAGAATGAAGGATACCTCAAACAAAGCATTATTTCTGCCCTTGTAAATGAGTCTTTTGGTTTGGTAATATAATAGCAATTAACTGCAAAATTGAAGTATTGCTAGGGCATATGAGTAGAAGTACACACTCTGTCCTCCAGCCTATATCCTGTTTGAAAAAGATTAATTTCCACTAGTACATAGAGACGATGATGTTTAAATGTGGAAAGATCTTTGTTATGATGTAGTTTTAACTCATTTACAGATGAAGAAAGTAAAAGGGGAATAAGATAAGTATCTTGCTGGAGTTACTTGACTAGTTATTATCAGCAGGCCTAAGATAAGAACACCAAAACATCTTTCTTCTCTGCTATAAGCTGGCAAAGTTTTTTCTTAAAATAATTCCATTAGAGTAAACTATAGCTTATAACTCTCTCATAAAAAGATAACAGATTTCTCATGATTAGAAGTAATAGCTTTAGGGGGCCGGCCCGGTGGCGCACTGCTACAGTGCGCTGCTTGGGAGTGCAGCGGCGCTCCCGCCGAGGGTTCGGATCCCACATACAGACCGGTTCCTGCTCACTGGCTGAGCGAGGTGCGGGCGTAGCACTGAGGGTTGTGATCCCGTTGCCGGTCCCGGTCCGGTACGGGTGCGACACTGAGGGTTGCGATCCATTGCCAGACATGAAAAAAGACAAAAAAAAGAAGTAATAGCTTTGGAAAAATTTGTATCTTGATTCCACATGTTTCTTTGAAGGGGTGAATTTTGCTTTAAACAGCTAAGTAGAATAGACATCTTTGCCATAAGGTAGACTAAAAGCAGTTTTTAACTGTAAGTACTGATGTTTGCAGGTGCTTGACTTAAAATAAGTACATTAGATGGGTTCATGGTTATTCCTTTATTGTCACTTGTTTTTGTCCACTGTGCCGTCTTGGTGAAAGAGGTGATTTACGGTAAGAAAGCCATGAATGATAGTCAAATCATCCTCGCTGGCCGTGGCTCACCCGGGAGAGTGCAGCACTGGCAGCGCCGAGGCTGTGGGTTCAGATCCTGTATAAGGATGGCTGGTGAGCTTGCTGCCTGAGCGTGGTGCGGACCACACTGCGCTGAGAGTTGCGATCCCCTTACTGGTCACAAAAAAAAAAAAGTCATCCTTGCTTATGAGGAGGTATACTATAGTTTTGAAGGTACAAGGCAGGTTTAGCATAATTTTGGATGTTATTCAAAACCACTTGTATGCAGTTCTTTTCCATATATTTGACCAATACGTGTTGATCATTTTTAGTTACAGAAATAATACATGAATACTTTCTTTTTATAAAAATACAAACATTACAAATGAAACTAAACAGCTTTTTGACCACCCCCAAATCCTTGTTTCCTTCTTGCTTCTAAGAAGTGACTGCTGCCAGGCATTTTTTCTTTCTTTTTTTTTTCCCCCCTCAACATTTTATCAGTCAAGGAGAAAGTAACTTTTAGAGAGCTCTTTTGCAGTTTTGATATTAGTGATAGCCCAGTGATGATCACTAGTCCTACTTAGAGAGAATAGGACTAACTTTCAGAAGTCCAGGCATTTTTCTACCTTTCATACTTTATCTTTCTTTCACTTTGTTTCTCTCTTTCTGTCTTTTATCATTTACTCTCTTCATTCTTTTTTTTCTTTTGCCTGGATTGAGATTGTAAGTCCCTCTCAATGAAGGGTAAGATTATGAGATCTGAGGGCTATTTAAAGCTAATAACTTCTCTGTGAGTCATATTGAAATGCAGTGTGAAAATTTGGTGAATAATAGTTTTTGAGTTGATATGTAAACAGTATATCTACCTCATAAGGCCATTTATTTTAAAACTTTCTGTTAGGTGACATACTGTCATTTTCATAGCTGTTGAAAATCTTTTTTTGTTTGTTTATTTTGCAGTTGGCTGGTAGAGGGATTGAATCCTGGACCTTGGTCTCATCAGCACTTCTTTTTTTTTTTTTTTCAAAAGATGACCGGTAAGGGGATCTTAACCCTTGACTTGGTGTTGTCAGCACCACGCTCAGCCAGTGAGCCAACCGGCCATCCCTATATGGGATCCGAACCCGTGGCCTTGGTGTTATCAGCACCACACTCTCTCGAGTGAGCCACGGGCTGGCCCCTCATCAGCACTTCTAACCAACTTAGCTACTCAGCCAGCCCCTAAAAATCTGTTTTATACCATAAAATAATTATCTGGAAAAATGTCATTTTATATGAACCTCAGCCCAACTTTGCAGCCTGATTTTAATCTTTAAGTTTTAAGAGTAGTAACCTTATTTTTTATGGTCTCTGAAGAATAAAATAGGACAGGGCTTGGCTGGTTACGTCACTTGGTTAGAGCATGGTGCTGATAACACCAAGGTCAAGGATTTGGATCTCCCTTACTAGTCAGCCACCAAAAAATATCATAAAATGAGACAGCTAGAGATGCCGTTGAAATTAATGTTTAATTGTTGGGCTTATAATTATTCATGAGATTTTTAAATCCCCTGTTCAGAGAGCCAGGGATTAGCAACATGTTATTAATATTATATATCTGTAACTATGAAAATAGATTGTAAATGGGGTATATAAACTGCAAGCAATAGGTCAAATATAAATCTCACATTTCCTTTTTAATCTGTAGAGCCAAGATCCTTGGTTGCTTGGGCTTACTTTAGATTTTTCAGTGTTGGTTAAAGTGCATACTCTCTCCATTACCCTACCCTAGCTTCACCTGCTTATAGATTTTTTGGAAGTTGGGTCCTTATACACATCACCCAAGATAAAAGCTACTTTTAGAAGCAGATTTGCTTGAGTTTTTTGTTTTTTTAAAAACCACACTGAATACCTTAATTCATGAAGTCATGCCAGGCTGTTGGTTGCCTTGCTATATTTTCTTAGTTTTTCTGTTCTACATATGTATCTTTGAACAACTAATTTCATTTGGTGAAGGATGCTTAGTAAAAGGTTGGGATTTCAGTATATTCCAATATTTCTCATGCTTTTCATTGTCACTCCACTAAATACACTTTTTTCCTAATTTCTTCCTATGAAAATTTAAGACTACAGATTATTGTATATCTCTTTAGGTAATGTATGTATATTTGTGCTTTATACATAAACTGAGTATGGTTTTTGTCTCCACTCCCCCCAACCAGTTTTTACTCCTGTTGGAGGTATTTTTACCCTCATTGGGAATGCATGGCATAGATTTGTTAATAAGCCAAAAGCCCAGCTGACTTAGACAGGTCAAAACTGTAGCTGGTGTTAAAAACATCAGCTCAAATCCTAATTATATTCTTGGTATTGAGGTATAAATATCTTTATCTCAAAGAACTTTGAATTTTTACTCAGATCTCTCCAAACACAACTTTTTTAAATGTAAAAATTCTTTTGCCTTTTAAAAGTAATACATCTGGGCCGGCCCGGTGGCGCACTATCCA